GGGCAGGTACCGTATTTTCGGTGAGACGATAGATATTGCTGTTGGAAATTGCTTGGACAGATTTGCTCGGGTTCTCATGCTCTCTAATAATCCCAGCCCTGGATATAATATCGAACAGGTACATTCGTAAAGACAACTAAAATGTTTCTTCATATGGCTTATGAATAACTGTAAGATGCATATAACATTCATGTTACAATTGAGATTAGAGCTCCTTTTTGCATTTTTTTTCTCCATGAATTAGAATTTTGTTTTTAGTTTTGGCCACCTTTGACGACAAAAGTAGTTACTTGTGATTGAGACGTGATTTATTTGACCTTTTGGCAGCTTGCCAAGAAAGGAGAAAAGTTTATAGACCTTCCCTATGCTGTGAAAGGAATGGATGTTTCTTTTAGTGGGATATTGAGCTACATCGAAACTACTGCTGAAGAGAAACTAAAAAATAACGAATGTACCCCTGCAGACTTGTGTTACTCTCTGCAGGTAATAGTTTGGAATTATTTTGTTTGTTTTTAATATATCAAGAAGCTGAAAATTGACAGAATCTATGTGTACGATGAAAAACTGTAGGAAACTCTGTTTGCAATGCTTGTGGAGATTACAGAGCGGGCAATGGCACATTGTGACACGAAGGATGTGCTAATTGTGGGTGGTGTTGGATGCAACGAGCGCTTACAGGAGATGATGCGTATAATGTGCTCTGAGAGGGGTGGTAACTTATTTGCAACGGACGATCGGTACTGTGTTGATAATGGGGCGATGATTGCTTATACAGGGCTCCTTGCTTATGCTCATGGGATTTCAACTCCACTCGAAGATTCCACATTTACACAACGGTTTAGAACTGATGAAGTATTGGCTGTATGGAGAGGCAAGGAACATTCTGCAATGAATGTTGACGAAATTAAAATGGGCTGAAAAAAGGTATTTTCTAAATTTATATATTGCAAGATTGGTAACTCATTTAAAGTCGAATGGCTAAAAAAATGTCGGGTCCTCAATTGCTGGCTTGAAAATAACTGAAATTATAAATCGTGACTTGGGAATTACTGATGTGATTTTATTATTTTTGGCATTGCAGGTCAATCAGGGAGGTTTATTCGGAAGTGTTGGAGAATGAAGCTTGCTGTGTATTAGGATTTTTTTTCTTAATGTAATAGTATTGTCCATTTTTTAAGCATGATTATTGTGTTGATAATATTATCAGCTACTGATTTAGTAATTAGTGAATTCTGGCCTCGTTCGGGATCTGTAAGGTTGATTGAATTAGATACGATTAGATTGTTCGTGGTAATGTAATATGTGATTATCTTATGTTTGGGATTTATGATTGATTATACACGCATTGTGTAATATCGTTATCTATATTTATTTCTGCCCGAATAAAAAACAGTTACTCGAAAACTTCAAAACATAGTGAAGAAAAGATTCAGTGTAACTTTATCTTGATACCATCCCTCAAAAGTTTCAAATTTAGCTGGCAAAATTAAATGTTTATAAGTAGTGCACATGAAGAAACTACCCAGCTCACCTATCTCTCAAGCTCACACTTTTACGCTTCTGACTCAAAGCATACCGACGAGCCATAGCAGGATTGTACAGCTTCCTCATATGCTCCGATAGTCTCTGAATAGCTCGTAAATCGCCAATCTCAGACAGCCTCATCAAAAAGGTGTCGAATTTCTTATACGGCAATTTCATACCTCTGTTTATAACTTCCTCCAAAAGCAAAACAGCATCTTTCCTACTATCACCGCATCCAAACAGCCCCTCAATCATCACACAATACGTCTCAGTATCGCGAGCACAGCCCCTTCTCTCCATCTCACTCCAAGTTTCGAACGCACCTTCACTATCACCAATCGCGAAAAACATCACAATCAAGATATTATACGTTTGCACACTCGGCACACAGTTCACCTCCACCATTTTCTTGAAAAGCGCAAGCGCTTGGTCTCTGTTCTTGTTATCACAAAGAACCTTGAGAAAGCAATTGTAAGTCACGATATCCGGTGGGTACCCTGTTCTTCCCATCTCTTCCAAAAACTTATAAGCTGCTTCGATTTTTCCGCTCAAACACATTCCTTCGATTAGTTCTTTGTACGTAGAAACATCCGGAAGGCATCCACTATCAATCATATCTTTCAAGATTCCAAAGCATTCTTCGAGCCTATCGTTTTGAACAAGTGCAGTCATCATAATAGCGTAAGTCTTTGCAGTGGGAGAAGACATAGTCGTGCCGTTTTTTTTCATGAACTCCAAAAGCTTAGTAGCATCACTCAACATTCCAGCTCTGCAAAATGTATCAATGGCAGTGTTGTATGTGAAACTTTCGGGTGTATGGCCCATGCTGATCATATCTTCGAGCACACTCATAGCCCTACTAGGGTTTCTCACTCTACACCATCCGAAAAACAATATGTTATACGTGTCGGCATTTGGCTTCACCTTTATTTTCACCCTCTTGAACATGTCTTCAGCATCCTTAACAAGACAGCACTTGCACATAGCATCCATTAGTAGGTTAAACGCGTTTATCTCGGGTTGTGTCTTGACCCTAATCTTCTTCTTCTTCGCAAACTTTTGGAGATGCGTCAAGTGCTTCTCTGTGTACTTTCTCAAAATCGTCAGCAGTACATCGATCGGGACTGAACTT